CGGCCAGGAAGGCGGCGTTGTTAGCCTTGGCCGTTTTCGGCTTCTGCTTTCTTTTTTCTGAGGGTTTAGGGCGCCTCTAAATGTTTTTGAGGGTTTAAGGTTTAATTGGGGTTAAGGCTCTTTTTTGCGTTTAGGTTTTCGGGTTTCGGGTTTCGGTTTCCTTTTTTTTTTGAAGGGTGGCAGGGGTTTCTGGGGGGTTTGGGTATGGCTTCGCGACCCTGACCTTGACGCTGCTGCAACTGTAGCGATCACGCGGATGGGTGCTTGGAGCTGATTGACTTTGAGCTCATACCCAAAAAGCCAAATCGAGCCCCAACCCTACACCTCAAAACTCTAAAGCCACACACCCCCAAAACCCTGAAACCCTAAACCCTAAACCCTAAACCCTAAACCCTAAACCCTAAACCCTAAACCCTAAACCCTAAACCCTAAACCCTAAACCCTAAACCCTAAACCCTAAACCCTAAACCCTAAACCCTAAACCCTTGACTTCAAGAACTGCTGAAAGACGTTGCCGGGGCTTTGCGTGGGAGGCCACAGCGCCGATACGGTCGAAGTTGGCTTCGGCTGTGAGGCCTTGCAAATTGGGTTAGGGTTTAGGGTTTAGGGTTTCGGGTTTCGGGTTTGGGGTTTAGGGTTTAGGGTTTGGGGTTTAGGGTTTGGGGTTTAGGGTTTAGGGTTTAGGGTTTGGGGTCTAGGGTTTAGGGTTTGGGGTTTGGGGTTTAGGGTTTCACGTCTGGGTTTGGGGAGTTTTTGGGGGTGTTAGGGTCTGGGGCGTTTCTGTAAGGTTGCAGAAAGGGTTTGTTTAAGGGCCTTTTTTTGAGGGTTGTTTTGGGTTTTTAGGTTGCTGAAGGTTCTTCTTTTGGTTGTTTTGGGCATTTACCGCTTTTGTGGCTTTTGGGTTTTGTGGGTTCGAGGGTGCGGATTCGGAGCAGTGCTGAAAAAAGGGCCGCTTTGGGTGGTGGTTCGGGGCGGGGGGTGGGGTCCAGGGCGTGAATTAGGGGTTGAGTGCGCGAATGTGAGGGTTACAGGGTTAGGTGCAGGCTAGGGTTTAGGGGGTGCATGTAGGCTGGGTTTAGGGTTTCGGGTTGAGAGTTCAGGAAAAAGGGAGGCCAGTACGCGCATCCGTTAGGGTGATCCCTGAGCAGGGCCAAGTTAGCCCAGAAAGCGTTTCGTTTAGGGTTCAGGGTTCAGAGTTTAGGGTTTAGGGCTTAGGGTTTAGGGTTTAAGGTTTGGGCAATTCGACCTCAAACCCTGAATCTCAATCTCCCTTTGCCCATGTGAGTCATGAGTCATGAGCTTCTCTGCCCAGCCCCAAAACCCTGCGGTAGGGTTGAGGGTTCAGGGTTCAGGGTTCAGGCTTTAGGGTTTAGGGTTTAGGGTTTAGGGTTTAGGGTTCAGGGTTCAGGGTTTAGGGTTTAGGGTTTAGGGTGAAGGTGCATGGCCGAGTTCTGCCACGGTATGTCGCCTGAGGAAGCGCAGCAGTGTGAGGCGGGTGGTTCGGGTTCGGGGTTTGGGGTTCAGGGTTTGGGGTTTAGGGTGTAGGGTTTATAGGGTTTATAGGGTTAATAGGGTTTATAGGGTTTACAGGGTTTATAGGGTTTATAGGCTTTAAAGGGTTTATAGGGTTTCGAGTTTCGGGTTTATAGGGTTGAGAGTTTACAGGTTTTATAGGGTTTATAGGGTTTAGGGTTTAGGGTTTATAGTGTTTAGGGTTTCTAGGGTTTAGTGTTTTGAAGGCCCTACGAGCCCCAAACCCTAAACCCGAAACTGAGCTGCGTGAAGAAGATCGCGCTGAAGAAGGACAACGTTACCGCACCGAGCCCCCTCAACCCTCCACCCTGAACCCCAAGCACTTGCCTTGGGGACCAAATGAATCCTAAAAGGGTTTATTGGTTCAAAACCTAAATCGGGCTTATCGTAAAAAAGGGTATATGACCCCAGTTTCAGGGTTCTTGGTTTGCAAGGTAATCCCATCTGCACCCACCTGCGCGAGTCAACGACCCTAAGCCCTAAAACCCCCAATATGGGGTTTCCGAAATTAGGGGTACCTTATTGGGGTCCTTGTTGGAAGGGAATCCTACTATTTGGGGGGGGGGGGGGGGGGGGTATTTCCCAAAAAGCAGGGTCCCGTGAATATACCTCCCCAAAATACTAGAATCCTCACTATAGGAACCCCCAAACAGGTACCCGATTTTCGTAAAATCCCCCCCAGCGCGAAGTAGTCATGTCGTTTGCCACACGAAATGGCTTTCGGGAGCATGAGAAACATGTCGCAGGGAGGGTACCATTTGGGCTAAAACATGCCAAGACGCTCGATTTTGCGTTTCCGGAATCGTGTTTTTCCTGAGCTTGAGAGCATACACGTACGTGTCTGAGGACCCCCGAGAACAAAAAAAAACAGAAACATTGTCCGGGCATGGTAAAAACAGAAACATCGTTCAGGCATGGTGCTCTAGCCAATTGATGCACCCTAAACCCTAAACCCTAAACCCTAAACCCTAAACCCTAAACCCTAAACCCTAAACCCTAAACCCTAAACCCTAAACCCTAAACCCGAAACCCTAAACCCTAAACCCTAAACCAGTGTGGAGTTGGTCAAACCTACGAAGTGCACACAGACGAGGGTTCCAGGTTTTAGGAAGTAGGGTTTGGAGTTGGAGTGGTTAGCCCTAAGCCCTAAGCCCTAAACCCTAGTGCTTGGAGTTTATTGCTCTCCACCTTTCCATGAAGCCGAGGTCAGGGCCACCACGCAAACATACCCCTAACCTGGGATCATGGTCCCAACCAGAACAGTAGGGTATATAAGCACCCTTTATTAAAGGGTAGTTGGGGGGTGCAGGTAGGGATTAGGGTTTAAGCTTCAGGGCTTAGGCCTTGGAATTTGAAGCCCTGAATCGTAAGTCCCGCCCCAAGCACCGAGCATCCCACGCAGGCCTAAACTACTAGGGAACGTCCTCCAAACCCTGAGCCCTCAAACCCGCAAAACCCTCAAAACCCTCAAACCCTCAAACCCTCAAACCCTCAAACCCTCAAACCCTCAAACCCTCAAACCCTCAAACCCTCAAACCCTCAAACCCTGAAACCCTGAAACCCTCAAACCCTGAGACCCTCAAACCCTCAAACCCTTAAAACCTTAAAACCCTCAAACCCTCAAACCCTCAAACCCTCAAACCCTCAAACCCTCAAACCCTCAAACCCTCAAACCCTCAAACCCTCAAACCCTCAAACCCTCAAACCCTCAAACCCTCAAACCCTCAAACCCTTAAAACCTTAAACCCTTAACCCTAGCCCCTGAGCCCTCAAACCCTCAAACCCTCAAAACCCTTAAACCCTCAAAACCCAGCCCTCACCCCGTTAAGCCTGAACCCTTACCCCCTCAACCCCGTAAACCCACAACCCTAAACCCATAAGCCATCGTAAGCCCTAAGCCCTAAGCCCTAAACCCCAAATTTGCCTTCGCTGTATCAATTGAGCGAGGCATCTGCGGAATTGGATGAGTTTTGGTCACACAGAGGGCGGGAACCCCAAACCCCAAACCCTAAACCCTAAACCCGAAATCCGCCCCACTGACGACAGGCCTCCTTGCTGCGGCGCCAGGCCGCACCTTGCGAGGCGCTGCGCAAGCTGGAGGCCGCGTTTAGGGGGTTTAGGGTTTAGGGGGGTTTAGGGTTTAGGGTTTAGGGTTCAGGGTTTAGGGTTTAGGGTTTAGGGTTAAGGGTTTAGGGTTTAGGGTTTGGGGGTTAAGGCGTGTAAGGGGCTCAAGGGGCTTAAGGGGTTTAGGGTTTAGGGGTTAGGTGTTCGGGTTTAGGGTTTAGGGTTTAGGGGGAATCTGTGATTTTGCTTTTGTGGGTGGGACGGAAGTAGGGGTATGCTTTTCGGGGGGGGGTTCCGTTGAGGGGTTAAACGGTCTTGTTGATTTAAACTTAAAACCTAAACCCTAAACCCTAAACCCTAAACCCTAAGCCCGTCTCATGGCTCATATTTCGCTGGGGTTGGGGGGACGGGTGCAAATCCTGAAACCTCATGTACCTCCGTAGGCCTTACAGAGAACCCTAAACTTGCAACCATAAACCCTACACTCGGGCCCAAGATTCTACTGTAGACGGACGCGCAGAGATTTAGAGATCAGACCTTATTAGGATCCTCTCAGCCCCTAAACCCCGACCCCCCACCGCCCCCCCCACCCCCCCCCCCGCCCACCCCCCCCCCCCCACCCCCCCCCCCACCCCCCCCCCCCACCCCCCACCCCCCCCCCCCCCCACCCCCCCCCACCCCCCCCCCCCCCCCCCCCGAAAGCCGTATAGGGTTTAAGGTTTAGGCTCCTGGTCCGAGTCTGAGGGTTTGGGGCTTGAGTTGAGTGTCTTCTTCCAACCCTGGTTTTGGCCATAGGCGGCTGGTTCATGGGTTCCGCTACTAGCCACTCTTTTTTTTTTTTTTTTTTTTTTGGGGGGGGGGGGGGGGGGGCGGGGGTTTAGGGTTTAGGGTTTGGGGTTTGGGGTTTAGGGTTTGGGGTTTGGGGTTTAGGGTTTAGGGTTTAGGGTTTAGCGGTACTACCCTCCTCTATACTACCCTGCCCCTAGATTCGCCCCAGTGAAGGCTATTGAGGCATAGTTAAGCCCAACTAAGGTGGTTATTCAAGGGGGGAACCTAGGGAGGGTACTCTAGAAGGGGGTCGCAGGGAAGCCCATGAGTGGTAGGCACAGAACAGTGAGAGTCAGAGGAGAGCAGAGAATGTCCTGCCTGATCCTATATCCGAACATCCAAGTCCGAGGACCTCTGACTCTCTAACCCTTGCTTTTCATCCCGGACCTAAAGCAGCTTTGCCTTTGAACTGCCAGTCAAGGAAGAGGTGCCACATACCAAGGGTGTACGCAGTGAAAAAGCCCTGAAGCCCTAAACCGAAGTTCCGGAGTCTGATGCCGGTGTGGGGGGGGGTTTGAAAGTACAGAGCCCATATGTAGCCCCTTGAGCACCGGCATGGCTTGTTGCCCCCTTACATGCGTACCCATGCCGGAGCGACTGGCTCGAACATTACTAAACACATACTGCAGGGTGTCAGCTGCGAAGCCGTTTCGCAAACCATGGCTTGGTGGTCAATGATCGGCCTCGCATTCTTTCTCCTCAACGACGCAGTGGGTGGGAACGTCACCGCGAACGTCACCGAGAATGTGACCGAGCTCCCACGATGTGACACACTCACGAGCACCGATTTGTGCCGGGATGCATGCACGACCGTGTATGGTGCACCTCCCACTTCCCTAAGGTACGGGTTCGTCGACTGTCTGTGCCGACGCCGGGTCGATGGAGAGTTGCAGTTATGTTGCGACGATGAGTTCGTCTGCACGACGACGACGACAACAACAAAGGCGAGCGTGACATGCTACTCGCTCCCATCCATGGATGACTGCATTCAGGCTTGCATAGATCAGTATGGCGGGACCAATGCCAATCGAGTGAGCGTGCTGTTCAAGCATCGCGAACAATGCGAGACCGGGAACCGCCAACCATGCTGCGACATAGACGGAGCGCGTGCCCTCAGCCTCCTTCCAGCAGCAATGATTTCAGTGACAGTGTTCGTGGCAAAGTTCCTTTAAATGTTCTGTGGATGTTTGTGCGGAACCATGTGTCAGGAACCAGGAAAGCGAGAGTCCAGAGCCAGGCAGGTAACAGTCGGGATTCGTGACAGGGTTTGGGGCTTAGGGTTTTGTCTTCGGCAGGATTCTCGCGCCTGACTGGCTCCCTCGGTGATTTTCAGTCATTTTTAGATGCAATGGCTGTAGCAGCAGCACCACGTTGTGCACACACATGCACCACGAACCCCCCACCCGCCACCCCAAAGGGACCCCGCTTAGCTAAGAAAACCCGAAAATCTTGGCATAGGCCACGGGGTCCCTTCAGGGTGGCTAGGGGGCCAACCTACGCCGAGGGCACACGCGTTGAGAACAGGGCACCCTAAATCCCTTATCCAACCCTCGGTCCAGTGCCCCGCCAGGAGTTAGGATTTAGGGTTTAGGGTAGACCTCCCCACCCGCTTCTGCACCTCCTAAACCCTAAACCCAACTACAACAGCAGAACCCTGAAACCAGGCCCTGCTGCAGCCGGGCGAGGGCGGCTGGGAGCCAGGCCCGGCGCTTGCTGTCGAGGCCGCAGGGGGGCGGGGTCTGGTTTAGGGTTCAGGGTGAAGGGTTCAGGGTTCAGGGTTTAGGGTTTAGGGTTTAGGGTGCAGTATCTAGGGTTCCGGGTGCAGGCTGATTCGAGATAACTGAACATTGCACCATGCACACACGGCTGCGTGTGACATCACGGGCATGCTTGATGAACGCTTCCGAACCGGGGGGCGCTATGGCGTGCAGCCTCTTCAACGTTTAGGGTCCTACTTCTGCATGCAACACAGCAACTGCTCGCAGATGCACTAGCAAATGGGGCTATCAGCCATCACTGCAGCATACTGCCGCTGCACAGAAGAAGAGGAAGTTAATCTCCATGAGCACAGGGAACGCAAACACTATCAATGGTGCCAAGCCTACAGTACAGGAGTTATATGCTTTGCGCAGTGGTTTGGAACCAGGGAGACTGGCAGCACTACGCCCCCAAAACCTCATAACCTCCCAACCCCCCACCCCAAGACCTCTAAGGCCCCAAACCTCAACACCTCTAACACTCCCCCCCTTCGCCCCCCCACTAAAAGCCTGAACCCCAAACCCCCGCCCCAACGCCCTGAATCCTAAACCCTAAACCCTAAACCCTAAACCCTAAAAACCCTGAATTCCTTTCCCTGCTGAGGCACCCCTGCTCCACGAGCTGGTGAAGCAGGAGCAGGCAGCTAGTTTAGGGTGTTGAGGTTTAGGGTTTAGGGTTTAGGGTTTAGGGTTTAGGGTTTAGGGATTGGGGTTTGGGTTGATGGAGAGGAAGGCTTTAGGGTTTCGGGTTTAGGGTTTCGGGTTTAATGGGAAGGCGGGGGGGGGGGGGGGGGGGGGGGGGGGCCGGGTGCTTCATAACCCTAAAACCCCAGATCCTGATAAATCCTTAGCCCGAAATCTTAAGCCCCAAGCCCGTCCTTGTCACAGACCTGGAGGCCCTCAACCCCGAGACTCGTTGGATTCGGTCCCAGTGTTGGGCAGTTTTTTTTTTTTTTTTTGGGGGGGGGGGGGGGGCTTGGGAGGGGGGGTGGGGGCTTGGGGAGGGGGGAAACTAAACCCTAAACCCTAAACCCTAAACCCTAAACCCTAAACCCTAAACCCTAAACCCTAAACCCTAAACCCTAAACCCTAAACCCTAAACCCTAAACCCTAAACCCTAAACCCCAAGCCCCAAACCCTAAACCCTTCCTATGTGGGCTCCGGTTTCAGGGTTTCGGGCTAAACAGCTTGAAGTGTCCGTGGATTGAGGATATTGAAGTTCAGGTCAAAGCTTTTTTACTAGGGCCCAAACCCCACAAGAGATTTTTTCAGTTAGACATTTTGCAGCTTAAGTGCAGCTTAGGTTTCAGGATTTAGGGCAGAGCAGTATAGGACGCCTGGCTTCATGCGCTTAAACCTTAAACCTTAACCCCTAGACCCTAAACCTAAACCCTAAACGGCCCTAGGCCAACCTATGAAGCCTCGAAACCCAAAACCTCTTTACGCGCAGGCCGCCGAGAGCCAAGCTCTGGACTCTTGGAAGCAAGGCTCAGGGCCTTCAGGCGTGAAGTTTAAACCCCTAACCCCTAAACCCTAAACCCTAACCCTAAACCTTAACCCCTAAACCCTAAACCCTAAACCCTAAACCCTAAACCCTAAACCCTAAACCCTAAACCCTAAACCCTAAACCCTAAACCCTAAACCCTAAACCCTAAACCCTAAACCCTAAACCCTAAACCCTAAACCCTAAACCCTACACCCTGGCTAAAGCAGAGAAGCCTGCTGCTGAGGCTGTCCGTCGAGCTGCCGCAGCTGCTGGGGTGGCGCCGGTGCGGGTCACGGAAGGCGATGGCTACTCTAGCCCATCATAACTGTACTTATAGGGTTTAGGGTTTAGGGTTTAGGGGTTAGGGGTTAGGGTTTAGGGTTTAGGGTTTAGGGGTACTTATTTACCAGTTATAACTGTACTTAGAACCCACTTATAAGCCCCTCAACTGCCCTCATATGGTTATAAGTACAGTTATAAGTACAGTTACAATTGGTTAACAAGTACCGTGAACCTCCAAGTAGGGTTCGGGGCTCAAGGCCGCACAAGTTTTTTTGGACCAAGGGCTGGGATTAGCACGATACTGAGAAGAAAAAAAAATATATATATATATATATATTAATATATATATATATATATATTTATATATATATATATACAACCTTGGAGATATGTTTAACGCAGTGCCCCACAGGTCAACCCAGAGTACCCACAGAAATTTTGCGACTCGATCACGGGCAGACGACCTGGTGCCTGCCACGCCCTGTCCGCCAGTGCTCCCACTACCAGGAGGTCGGTGAGGAGGATTTAGGGCGTTTGGGGGTTTCGGAGGGTTAGGGATGTTAGGGTTGGGGTTTGGGGGGGGCCCCCAAACCCCTTCAACCCGAAAGCCCTGAGCCCTCAAACCTCGGACAGGGTGCAGTTCTCATCCGTGGAGCCACGAAGCGGGGTACGGTGGTTCGGGTTCCTTCAGCCCTCAACCTAAACCCCAGAGATCCCCAAACCCCAAATCCCAACCCTCAGCTCTTGTCAGCACACGATTCTCCCGACCGCTCCCTCCCCCCTAGGCCCTAAACCCTAAACCCTAAGTCCGAAACAGTTCATCTTCTTCACCTCGAAATGGACCCTGAACCACACCCCCCCTCCCCCAAGCTACAGGTCCTGGAGGTCCTGGGTCCTTCGACCCCCCTAGCCGCGAACTCTTAGGGTTCAGGGTTCGCAAACAGGGTTGATGGTTTAGGGCATAGACCCCCAACCCTAGACCCTAGACCCTAAACCCTAGACGCTAAAGCCTAAACCCTAAACCCTAAACCCTAAACCCCAAACCCTAAACCCTAAACCCTAGAACCCTGAACTCCTAAGCCCTAGACACCCTAGACCCTAAACCCTAAACCCTGAAAGAATGCAACGCTTCAGGCCCAGAAAGCCTGCCGCCAGCACCCGTGGATGCGAAGCGGCCCTCCGAGCCAGGCTTTGCGCAACCGCTTCTAGGGTTTAGGGTTTAGGGTTTAGGGTTTAGGGTTTAGGGTTTAGGTTCAGGAGGTTTGGGGTTTAGAGCTTGAGCGGTTTGGGGTTTAGGGTTTAGGGAGTTTTAGGGTTTAGGGTTTCGGGTTTAGGGTTTAGGGATTGGGGTTCAGGGTTTAGGGTTCTGAGGTCCTTTTCTGGGTGGAGAGGAAGGGGGGCAGAAGGATGGAAGGGTTTAGGATGCCTGGTTTTCCCTTGTACAAGGGATCGAGTCATGAATGACACACCCTGAGCGTGGCCCTGGAAGACACGGAAGACCACTGGATGCGCCAGGGTTTAGGGGTTTAGGGTTTAGGGTTTGGGGTTTAGGGTTTATAGGGTTTAGGGTTTAGGGTTAGGGTTTAGGGTTTTTGGGGGCTTAGGCAACCCCAAAGTCCAAAACCTAACACCGAAAGCCCAAAACCCTCCCGCCGCGCGGCCAGACGATGCGCGAGCAGCGACAGCGAAGTCGCCGCCAAAGAAGCGCCGCCTGCCTTGCAACCCAGCAAACCCAAAAGGGTTTGGGGTTTAGGGTTCAGGGTTTAGGGTTTAGGGTTTAGGGTTTAGGGTTCGGGCTTCTAGGTGGAGCCCCGTGTCAAAACCCATAAGCTGGATTTTGCAAACTTAGGGCACGTGGCTTGAAATCCTGCAACCTAAACCCTAAACCCCAAAACGTCTAACACCCTAAACCCTACAACACCTCCCCCCCCCCCCCCCCCCCCCCCCCCCACGCCCGAAACCCTGATCCCCCAAGCCCAGAACTCGTTTATCCCAATCAACCTAAGAACGCCCCAAGGCCCGAAAGCTCTATATCCCTAAGCCCTCAACTGCTCTTGCGCCGCGTGGGCCACTCTCAAAGCCCGAAGATTACAGCTGCGGGCCCTTTGGGGGGCCCTCTTTACATGGTAGGATCTTGGGCTTAGGGTTTAGGGTTCAGGGTTGAAGGTTTCGGGCTTGTTAAGGTTCAAAGGGTCGGATTTTGGGCTTAGTGCCAGGACTCGGACTCAGGGTGTTAGGGTTTAACATGTTTAGGGTTTAGGGTTTAGGGTGTAGGGTTTAGGGTTTAGGGTTTAGGGCTTAGGGGCAGCTAAGGGACCGCAGCCTTTTTCTCCTAGGCCAACAATCGTCCCTGGATGCCTCAGCCCCCTTAGCCCCTGAATTGCCCTGAATCCGGCAAATCAGCATGCGTGCGGTTTAGTGTTTAGGGTTTAGGTTTTAGGGTTTAGGGTTTAGGGTTCAGGGTTTAGGGTTTAGGGTTTAGGGTTTATAAGGTTAAGGGTTGCGGGTTTAGGGTTTAGGGTTGCGGGTTTAGGGTTTAGGGTTTAAGTCTTAGGGTTCAGGGGGCCAATCACCGGAGGAAGAAGATGCTCGATTCGGCCGTGCACAGACTCGTACGAGGCGGTTCAGGGTTTAGCTTGGTAGTCCC